TTCGGGCCCGTTGTTACGCGCGCCCGCATCATACCTACCGGACCCTCAGCCTCGGGCGATACACCCGGGCGCTCTCGACCCCGGATCGGTCCCTGACAGGCTGGCACCTTGGACATAACGGAATAACTGCTTGCTCTAGTGCCAATAGCTCAGTCTCAAGCAATATGCGCGAGAACTATTATATTACCTAAAGATAGTAGCTATAAGGTAATATACAATGAGTATAAAATATAAGAAATAAAAGAAAGTAACTGACCTCAGTCTCACTATATGCGCGAGAACTGAGGAAAAAGGAAACTAATTCAAAAGATTGAATATAGTTTGTGGCTTCACGGATAAGTCCGAAATAGCCAAATAGGGAAGAAAGTGTGACTTGTGGGAACAAGTCACATGGTCTAACCAAGTAAACTCGGTCAGACCAAACCTTCCGGCAATGTCCGGAAGGGGTCGCATGCTAGTGCCTTTCGGCACTATATGTGCTGCCCTCCAACAGGACAACCAATATCTAGGCCTATAGAGGGGGGTTCTCAGGACATTCAAAGAGGGCCTAGAGGCCTCTTTTGTATGGGAACATCCCAGGACATCCTGAGACATCCTGAGAATTCACTTTCAATTCAAACATTCCATCTGGGACGTCTGTAATTCAAACTGAAGTCACATGTCTGTTGCTATCCACTTCTGTAGCTGTGTGCATCCTAGAAATTGCTGAATCATGAGTTGGAGTAATAATACGAAATAAAGAGGAATTTTAGAGGAATTTATTGCAAAAAAACCGATGGAAAATGGTTGAGAACTGATGGAGAAATGCCCGATTCTCGGTTCACTCAACACCACACGGGAGTGGCATGCATGGGAAATGACATGCAAGGTCAAAGCTCAGTGCTTCTCAGATGTCGAAAAAATACGAGAAAATATGTAAAGTTTACTTTGAAGACATGTATTGCAGTGTGCAAACTTTGAGGACATTTGAACTACTATTCAGCGAGATAGAGGAAATGCATGATATATTCCCCGCTCCTCCCATACTATCTTGCTCATTTTTCCATCGTTTTGAATGAGACCAGCTGCGTTGGAAAGCTAAGGTTTAGTATAGTTGAATGGTGTAGAGTTAGCACGGTTATGGGGACCATTTTCAGTTCCCAAGCAGGATTCTCGTGCATAACATAACTTTCAACTTCTTACCCCATGATCTCCACAACTACGCCTTTAAAACAAACCTTCTTATGCTCGATCGATAGAGCGGGATTATTTCTCCTATCACGAAAATTTTTGTGCTGAATGGACCAATATTAGTAGAGATTCTTGCATGTGGTCCATTCAACACCTGTCAGGGCCCGGCCTCGGACTCGGAGGCTCCCTGACCTCAACCCCCATCTGGCCTGTCCTCACACTATGCGGGGCATGAGATGTATAGTAAAAGAAAGGGAATATATACACTTGCCTATGCGGGGCATGAGATGAGAAGAAGGGTAAAGGTCTCATCTCCCCGCATGGTTGCTATATATAGGAATGGGTCACATGCCCACAACTATACAGCTCTTAGAGTTGTGTAGTGTGATCCGGAGGGAACATCCAGGTGGCAGTGCCAAGCGTGGGAACGTTCTGGGCGAGTTGCTCGCCCAGAACTGTGGCTGTGACCCGTGGGAACATAGTTCCCGCGCTATCCCGTGCGCGCATGTACACAACACACAAAGGCAACAACAAGGCAACAGTCAAAGAATAAAAGGGGGTAAAGTAGGTGGGGAGTCCGGGGCACCCCTAAGGCAGGGTGCTGAACCCTGACAACACCATGCTGAATCTCACGTGGACTTGACAGCACCTGTCAAGAACCACTGGGCCAATTTAAATAAAACTGAGCTTGTTGGAAAGCTGAAGAAGAGGAAAAATTATTGGAGCTCAAAAAAAGGCATGAAAGGGGACGGTTTGGTTTCGCGTCGACCTTCTTTCATATCAGGCTGCTCCAGCAGTATTTCCCCCATATATCCCCCATTTCTTCATTGATTTCCACATATTTTGTATCATTAGAAAGCTTTTATTAAAACGAATCGAAGTAGGCTGTAGCGGAGAGATTTAGTGCAGGTCAACTTTATTCATTGTGTGGCCATCAATCGGCATAATTTGCAAATATATTGACAAACCTGCCATTGATTTCTCTCAAACTTGGTACTATAAGAAAAGTATACTCCACAGGTACTCACAATATTTTTTCATATTTTTGAGACTCCTGAGAGACTCTGGATGTTGACCTTTTCCCTTTTCCCACGCAATCCATGTTCGGTGAATATTCATGACAACACATGTTAGAACTTGAATGTGGTAATATATATGCTTACATGCGACATAACATGTATGTTCTTCCTAGCTATTAAATTATAAATTTCCTCTTACCCAGAGCTTGTATGTACTTTTAAGTGATGGAAAGAGGAGAATCTTCCAAATCGGTGGAGATTTGACAGAGATACCAGCCTCTCAACCAACCCATAGTGCGTGGGAAAGGGGCTTGCACATACCAGAGATAATGGTTATCTACAATGGCTCGTAAAATCTCAAAAATCTTTATAAGCATTAAAAATCCCTTTGAAAACACCACAGCAAAGTATAATTCCATAAATGCTCGAGATCATTGAGAAACATTGCCCATTCCCCCACCTCAGCCCTAATTTCGATAATTTTGATTTATCTTTTCCATTTTCCTGTCTACCATTTATGTAAATAGCCGTATGTACAACTTCCCCTAACATCGCGGGGCACATAGTTATCAGGACGTCCTCAGATTTTCCCACAGTCCATTTTTGGCAGCAAGCCGCATCACCAGGACGTCCACATTGAAATAGGCCGTTTAGGCCCTATTTGAAGCGTAAAAAACACCCCTTGATAGGGTGGGTTAATTGGCTGACTAGCCTGAGGCTGGAGTGGTCATTTCAACATGTCCAACCACTCACTCTAAGGTCGTTTCTGAATCCTCGGGCTCAGGGAACAAGAGTCCATCCAGCCCCTTATATATCTCTTTCATGAACATTTGTGATAAGCTGTCGTAAGGATTGTGGGGGGATATACATAAAATCTTTGCTACTTCCGAACAGGATCAACCTTTTTAGCTCGTGGCTGAGCCGAATTCAAGCTTTGAGCACTCAGTTGAGATTTCAACTGTACCTGCCGTTGGTACTCCAATTCTCGCTTCGCTAATTCCTCTCTAAATCTCCGCCTCATGAAATGAATGCTATCCATGAAGGATGGAGTTGGTTTGCGGTCCATCAGGCCACGGCGGCCGACGGGAGGAAGACCGTAACGAGTTCTCACTGATGGGATTCGAAAAATGAAGAATTGACCGACGATGAGGGCGCCATTGGTGACGATGAAGAGCAGAATACTCTGTGATGGTAAAAGAAAAAATATCCGAGGATGATGATGATGATTGAAAAAGAGGTAAATGAAGCGAGGGTAAAAATATAATATTAGGAGGGAACGTACCGAAGGGAAGAACACCATGATTCCGGATGAGAGGATGGTCAACGCCTTGAACAAGTTCGTGATATGACCAGTCGTCTCCGTCTGGGCGCTATCCTGAGCATTAACCTGCACGCACGAATATTATAAAGAACTCAGATGGAGAGAAAGAAGGACAATGAACTCACATCCATCATTCCATAGATGGAAACGGTGCTGACAAGAGGTAAAATGTAGAACGGGTCGGGTACTGTCAAATTCGTAAACCAGAGTGCACCTCCAGTCTTGAAACTCTCAAGAGGAAGTTCGCCCATCGTTCTTATAGCCAGAAAGCAAGAAAGTGCAATGGGTAACTGTACGAACGGAGCAGCCAAACTTCTAAACGGACTGCAATCATTTTCAGCAAACAATTGCCTGGCCGCTAAAGAATGTTTATGCATCGCAAGTTTATCGTCCTTAACTTTTGCGTCTTGAAGCTTCTTCATGATGATCTCTAATTCAGGTTTGATTTTGGCGAGACGTACATTGTTCACTTGTGAACGAATGAGGACGGGAGCTATGATGGCTCGTCCTAGGATGGAAAGGGTAACGATAGCAGCCCACCATGGAAGTCCGAGGTTAACGTGGAGTTGTTCTAATAATGCCTCAATTGCTCCTACGGGAGTCCAGTGAACGAGACCAAGGTTCGCTAGGTCACCAATGTGGTCGCCGGTGTAGAGAGCTGGTGGTAATACGACTTGATCGATAGGAGAAGCTGTTGCGATAGGATCGGCCGGGATGATTGTTTCAGTCATTCCATGATTCGAAGATGCCGCTGATGCTGCTTCTTGTGTGGTGGCCGGGATTATGGGCTCGGGCGTTAAGGATGAGGAAGGGGAGGATGCTGCTTCGGCAACAGCAGAAACACCTTCAGGAGCGGGGGAAGAGTGCGATGGGGTAATAGTAGTAGTAGGCATCTCAGTTGATGGTGGATGTGAGGCCATCGGTGGAGATGATGGGTTCGTATTGGCTCCCCACAATCCCCACCAGTTGAAACTCCGAACAGTCACATTGGGCGAGAAGGAACTAGGTGAAGTTGCTTTCATTCCTGCCGCCCGAACCGTAGACACACCGAGAAGACCCCGAACCGGCTGTAGAAGTTCTCCCAACTCAGCAGATACTTTGAGATTTACGAGCACTTGTGGAGGGTAAGTACCTTTGACGTCGAGTGCCACCTTCTACTACTGCTACCCTCCTCAAAGAATAAATGTGAGATCACAATGAGAAAGCAAACATCTCACGGACATATTCCCTATCCTAGCCATACTCGGGGATGCTCTAAGGCATGACTTTAGACTACCGTAACATGCAAACTGCACGTTCATCACCCAGACAACTTTTGTCCGTGGGAGTTTTTTTTTGGTCTCTCAAAGTTCGGAAGTGGCTGTGCCACTCGATAAGGCCCCAGGCCGAATGGCCTCATGATCACAATGTTCCGCACACTTTTTTGGTTTTTCTCCAACCCTTGACGCTAGCACGTTAGACTGGTCGTGTTCCGCAATTTCTCGCTCGCCATGGAATCGCCTAAACGGGTCCCAAGCGGATCACGGCATACATACCGAGGACATCGTCGAGAGTCTTATTACCCGATCGACAATGCAGAACTAGGTAAAAAAAAACCCTTTCGCGCAAACGAGTTTCACCCATCTCCCCCTCCCTCCCACACCTAGTTGAGCTACGCGCCAGACAAAGGACTTTTGACGGTGCATACGCTAGAACGTCGTTAGGCACGCTTGGGTCTACTATCGTCTTTTTGAAACTTTTCGACCGAAGATTCTACCGAAGTAGGTTTTGTTTGTTTGTTAAAAGTGTCCGATCTGTTATGATGTAACCACTCTGACCGCCTGACCGAATTCCAATGCGTTCTTTCCAGTTGGTCTGCTTTATTGCATCCTTACTGCCTTGTTGGCTCTAACAACGGTTGTCCGGCGGAAGCACTCTCGACATGACTTCTCCGATAAATACAGAGGCATCGGAGGACGAGGGGATGGTACCGGTGATGATGATCGTCTGACCCTGGAGGGGGGAGGAGACCCGGTACCAGTGCGGATATTTGGTAGACCTTTTGTGACTGCTGGACGGATCGTAATTATCATTAGCCTTCTTGTGGTAACGATCCAAGTGACACTTTTAGCATTCATTTTCGAATTACCGCATCGCGATGCGTAAAACATATGTGGATGTATGTATGCCTGGCTTTCTCTCTCAAGTGAAGGGCGCGTTTCATTTCGGGTTGTCGGCCGAATTCGAATGTTTTCGAATGAATTCACTGGGTTCTCGGGCCGTCGCGTCCACGTTTTTTTCATTTCGTACCTGGTAACTTTTCGCTGCTGATTCCCCACAGTGGGAATTAGAGTCGCGTAAAAAACCATTTTAAAGATGGTAAAATACCTTCACTTTTACGATGATTCAAATAGTACTTTACCATTAGGACTATGGTCCTTTACCGAGTCCCCATTACCATACTAACGAGGGTAAAAGACCTACTTTTTCACTGTTTTCTACCATCTCAATGATGGTAAACGGTCACTTTACAATGGTCGTATTTGGTATTTTACCTCATCGGTCTTGTAATTTACGATGATTGTCAATGATAAAACACCTTACAATCCATGGTTATTTATGGCTATTAGTATGGTAATATACAGTAAAAAGACATTGCTTCTACCAGGTTACATTACGAGAAACAGCAGTGATCGTGAATGAGAAATCGAGCTTGATTTGAGCAGTAAGCAAGAGGCGAGTGGGGGTTGAATATGAGCGTCAATTTGATATGGTTCAATCCTGATGAAGAAAGACAGCACGGACCGCGTATCCTGGTAAGAATGTAGAAGAAATTGAGAGTAAAACGACAGAGACGCAAACCTACGAGCCGCAGAGTATTCCAACTCCCACATGTCTTCCGAGATGGTCTGAGCACATCAGCAGGTTGGACTCGCGCGTTCAGCTCTCAAATTCTGGCTGCTTTTGTGCATTTCGATTGTTTCCTGGTATGAAAGGGAGTCAGGAAGGCGATGGAGGCAAGGAAATGGGAACCTGGTGGGATCTTGGCCAGATACTTGGTGTGGGGGAAGGCTCTTGACCCAGTGTTCAGGATAATTCTCGCCAGGCCCATCTTCGGTAAGAGCACCCGGCGGATCTGTAGTGTCCTCAATGTCGCCTGACTCTGGTGACAAATTTTTCTTCTCTGTGATTAATGGTGAGTGCAGCCCAGATCAGATGCTTTCGAGAAGGAATAAGCAGTTCCATGTGAGAACCCCAACCTTTGCGGGTAACTATGCATGGGCCCTGGTCAGGGCCGAGCCCAGAGGGGGGCCGAACAACACCCTGCTGAGCAGATGCTTGAGCTCTCGATTCTCTTCGTGGATGTGAGGTTGAGGCGGCACAGTGGCTGGAGAGCATAAGAGACAAAACGCGCATGAAGACGGGCACACAGGAAGAGGAGGGAACAGTTGAAGTCCATCACAAATAATCGTGAAGTCGACTTCTTTATCAAGTAGACAAGGGGGTGATCAAGAAGCCCCAAAATAGTGCATGCATTGGTAGCGCTGGACTCAGAACAAAGAGATCGGAGGTGCCGATCGCACAATCTTGCGCTTGCATTGCTCAACCTGGACAGGTGATGACAAGTGTTGAAGCGTGTAATAGACGCGAAAAACAGAACCACAGCAAAACGTGGCCTAATTAAACGTATTGCAGCAGCCAGGCACGGATCCAACGCGTCTGGTGAGTGCACGGTGAGAGAGAGGAGGAAGTTCAGTGAGTCCGGGAATTTCCGTTCAGTTCGACCTTTGGCTTGAGCGACAAGTAAAGATGGCGATGAGATATTGCCACATAAGATTGCATTCAATACTGGCTTGCCTTTGTGAGGTATTGTGAAAACGGCCTCCAAGGGCGGGATTGAGGCACGCACTGTCCATGGTAGCGAGGGCGACGTATTAGCGCCCCGCGCTCCGACTCCCCAGTCGTGCTTCCAGGTAATCTTACCTTCCTTGTGTGCCCTGATAAATGCATGCCGATATAATGCATCTCGAGACTCAGTTTATTGTGACAAAGTGATGAAAATATGATGATCTTATGCACCCGCACAAATTACCATGGTACAGGTAGTAAAATACTTGCCGTGAAAAGTCGGTCCCTTGACTCGCAATTTTGATTTGGTAAAATACCAAACTTCAAAAACCATCGAAATGATGGTAAATGGTCAATTACAAGTGTAATTCTGGTCATTTACCGAGAAACATTTCCCACAGTGTCCCTGCGTACAGTACACGTGTATCGGTCGATGATGTAAAATTGTCGAGGCTGATCAACCTTGAGTCCATTCTTTGCGATTGTGGTCGACTCGTGTGGTACAATATTTCGCCAAACTCAAGTGCATCAGTTATGTATATACCACCCGCCTACCTATCGATTTACTTAGTGCAGTACTGTGGTCCACCAGCTCCGGTTCATCATCGGCCTTTGAGAGGTGGTGCTCCCATGACGTACGATTCCATGAATTTCACATCCGAAAACAATATTGTTCAATTTAGCGCGCAAAACCTCCACCATATTGTAACCTCCACCTTGCGAAAAAAAAAATCTGGTAAATTGACCGAAAGGTGTTTCTCATCCATTTCGGCCACTTTTCATACAACCGTCGGGGGAGAGGGGGGACGTCGTCGACATCATGATCGTGAAAGTGTGGGTAATTTTTCGGAGGGTTCGGATCGATCATAGTACACCAAATATTAGTACATGCATTACGACGTACGTCCGGCCGGTCCAGTATATAATGACCGTGAGCGTGCGTGCTAGCTCGACAACTGGGTTTGTTCACCGGACGGACGGTATGTGAAGTCCGCACAGACTAAAAGAATAATATGGCTCGTTAGAAGTTCGGTTACTCTAAATCAAGTTCGTCATCGCAATTACTCAGTGGGTAACTCAGTTACTTATGTAGCCTACTGGGAGGAAGGTTGATCAGCAAATATGGAAGTCGATCGGATCTTCAATAATTGCTATACCGTGTGCGGGGGCCGTATGTCGTGGTTACAAAGTATGTAACCGTCATCATGAATCAAAGTTATACGATTGTGCCAATCTAAAACTGAAAGAGAAATCGAAATTGCCCAGGGTATCCCAAAAGGAAAAAGAAAAAAGAAAAATCAAAGAAAAACAAGACCCGAATACAACACTGTCTTCTCTCATCGGCCCCCACCTAAACCTAAACCTAAACCCAAACCCACACCCAGATCTCATCTTACACATATCGGATCTTCTTCAACGGAAGAAGGTGACGACACAAATGCTGACCGTCTCCCTCCCCACATATCACCCATTCCCGTCAAAGCAAATTCGGACGAATAATGATGACTCCTCGGCGTCGTCGTCGTCGTCGTCCAAAGTGCTGGAGGCATAGCAAACAATGACGCTATACTCTGCGACAACAGTGACGATACTCGAGGAGTTGGAGTTGGAAGTGCGCAATGAATACCTTCCCCTGCCGCCGAAATCTTCACCTGAATCGTCGGATCCCCACCACCACCGAGCTCTGAGACTGAGAAACGTTCATAACAGACCCTATACTCGATTCTATCCTCCGCACACGCATGCCTTACAAATCCGATACTCCGAATTCTTCCATGCGCAGTAGTAGTATACTGCTGCTGGTGTTGTTGGATTCGATGAATGACATATGCTTCGGACTGGCCAACACGATTGATAGCTTCTGCGCGGGCCTGTATGGCCGTTAGAGTATGAGAGGGTGAAGTGGGCCGAACGAAAGGTGTACGAAGGATCGCGTAATCTTTGTGGTGATGAACGGAAGAAGGTAGGTAGAGATGTTCAAGGTTTGGAAGATACTTGATCACGTCAATTAGAGCCTGAAAATTCAAATGAACAACGCATTGCTTTTTGTATATGCAGCTGGTTTGCTCACCTCGGGATCGATCGGCTCGGAGCTAGAGCAGAATAATACCTCGTTCCCGTGCCATCGTGTTTGTAAATCTAGGATTCTGAGATGCGGTAGGGTCTCTCCGAGTGCTTTTAACATCCCTACGCTCGACGATGCATTAAATTTCATATTCGTTTCATCCATCTCCATCCCCATCTCCGGGTGACCACCCCCGGCTCCGCTGAATGTTGAAGGGAAAGATGTACGCAATGAATCAGGTGTGTACACCAGTTCTCGTAACCCTGGTACCAAACGAGCCGCATTGACAAGTTCATCGTTGACTGAATGGGCAAATCCAGCTGTAAGGCGTAAATGAAGTACTTGTAGATTGGGTGCTAGTTGTAGTAGTGGCGTTATACCCTGGAAACCATCCAACTGAATGATTCTAAGGGAACGGAGCTTGAATGCCGTAGGAGAAGAAAGAGCGAGGCTAGACTGCATAGCACTATCCATCGAGATCCCTAGAGCTCTTCCAAGTGGGCACCGGGCCCATGCGGAATCTGATCCAGATGGTTTGGCGACGAGCATACGGAGGGCACGAATCTCGGGAGTACGGGAAAGAATGCGAGAAAGGGATAAGAATGGGGAGAAACCCAAGGTGCAGTATTGCGATTGGGATGAAGACCAAATTTTGAAAGCATCGAGAAATGGCGAGTCGAGGAAGATATTCAACTCCCTGTTTAAGAAAGAGAGTTACGTCAGAATAAAATATTGTTTTCGGGTGCCTGAGCGTTCGCTGCAAAGTCGAATACGTACTTGATGTACCCAACCAAGTGCGAAGGGAGGGATTGTAATGCGTATAATGCTCCTGCGGATAGGATGGGTACGTCTCGAAATAAGATGGGAACGCAAGCGACACGTATCCAACGTGAGGTCATGGAGAGGGCTATCAGGTCAGTGGAGTCGACGACGTATCCCGCGACGGAATGGCGGGATGGAAGATAGCTAGCGATCTCGGCCAGTAACTCGGAGGGTAAAGTCATGAAGGGGGACGTCTTGATCGTTTGACGCAGTGGAGGAGGAGCGGTATGGAAGCGGCAATGTTGCATTTTTGGAAGGCTGGGGCGGGGAGAGAGGGTAGGGGAAGAGGGAGGGAATCACGAAAAGTCATGGTCATGGGTATATATGTATAACGGGTCAAGGGGAGAAGGGAAGAGAGTAGAGAGAGAAGAAAGTAGGCGCGTGAGTATACTGTAAACAGGTAAGACCCATTATGGAATCAGCCGAGTTCGGCGAATTGATTTCACGGAGCCATCCCCACGGGATTTTGAACAACAAACAGATACTTAACCTCCTCCTGTGAGAGAAATCAACTAATTATACAAGTAACTGATTGCGGATATTAGCGTGGGACTTGTTCTCAGGAACCTGAATCGGAATGTCAGAAGCGTCAGAAAATGTCAGAACGGAGCTTTCCCCCTGGCCTTCCGCGCAGAGTACGTACGTAACGTGTATGGGGTTTTGCATAGAGCGGACGACACCGATCAAAAAGAAAAGAAAGAAAGAAAGAAAGAGAGGAGTGAGAAAAGAGACCTGTTCCAGGGTTTAAATCAAAACCGCCCGGATAAATTACTTGGTTGACAGAAGCACAAGAACCTGACTTCTTCTTTGTGAGTTACATATCAGAAGTTCGCGTGCATGGTTTCACGGACCTTGAAAGTTTCCAAGTGCAATCGATCAGTCATCAGTTAAAGCACGTTATTTCCCTGGATGGATGGATTGGCAGGGATGATGGATGTTATTGAGAAGAGCAACCTTCTTTACGTGAAAATTTCCCCCCCCCAAACTTTCTCGGAGCGGAGAGCACAGTTGGCGATTTTCGTGAAGCCGCCCCTGTTTTTGTTTTTCTCTTTGGGGGTGTGTTTTGGCAACACGAGTTGAACTTTTGGTCCAAATGTATTTGCTGCATCGCCACAACCACCAACCAATTATATTCCCGCAGTTTGTTCGAGGAACGTTTTTCATTTTAACATTTTTGCGCAAGGGAGCCCTCTCACCGCTGCGCGCGCGCAAAAGGAGAATACTATGTATGGCTATGTCTACATACGAATGCGGGTATACACCAAACACGACATCGTTCCCGATGAACGCTCGTTACGAGACGCCTTCGTTCGTCTACTCGCCCAAGTCTACGGAACATCTCGTGCGATGACCCCCGTGGACATCCTTTTCCTCGGACGTCCAGAGTATTTGTATGGATGCGATCAAATACAGGCATTTGTCCGTGTTCATAAAGAGTGCGTCCCCACACAGCTCTTTTCCAACTTTCTTCCTGCCAACGTTGCAACTTTTTTTTAAATATATACTCACGCCTACAAACCCTTGATGATGGTTCAAAAAAAAACGCACGGGTATAAAATTGACAATAATGATAATCCAACCACCAAGTGATGCAGCCATCGTCATTGGTGCTTTGGCGGCGTACAGTAATGCTGCTAAACCATCCAGTTCGAAGGAGGAGGGAGAGGGGGACTACTCATCGTCAGAGATAACGGGATTTTCATTTATCAAACGGTCCGCAGTTCTCGCGGAGCTTTCGACCGATTTGGACGCGTTTAAACAAACTCACGAGAGAAGTCATCATTGATCAATGATGGTTTTTGGGTACAGCTAGATTGGTGTGTTGCGGACGAGTGTTCGAGTCCCCCTTCTTTTACCGTTTACCGTTAACTTCGAACACTCACCCCATCTCCGTGGAGGCGGCAAGTATCTGTTTTCATGGCGGCTCGACGATTACCGTCTAATCTTCTCGGATCCCGACGAATTCGCAATCTTCTGTGTGGGGGGTACAAGTGACTTGGACGGCCTATTGTGGGCGTCCCCATGGCGTGATGTATGCGTAACTTGGATGCTCATCAACCGTTATTACTGCCATTGCGATCCTATCCGGCTTGCAAGGGCTCCCCCGCGCAGACATCCTGTTTTTTTTTTCTTTCGAGATTTGGACGGAGAAACCCGAAAACGTTCTCGGGAACTCCCTCCGCTCCGAAGTACTTTAGTTGTACCTATGCATTGTTGTGCATCACTATAGAGGATTCTTCCGGTTCCCTCGTTGCACGCGTTGATCCACATCGGCGCCCGATGAAAGCCAATAATACACCAATTCAATTTCCTCTTTTTTTCTATAAGTATACAAGTATGCATCATATCAGAGGCTAAGCCCAACAACATAACATTTTCAGCGCACTGATGCGCGCGCAAAAAAAGTTGTTGTTGCGCGTGGCAAGTTACCCCAGTGCACTATTCAAGTTTCGTATGCAGGCTGTTATATAGGTCCGCTTGTCTGTTTGATTGACTGAGCTCGGCCACGTTGCGCTCTAAATTGCCTCCCGATCAACCATATTGCATGTCGCGATCTCCGAAACGTCGTCGCATCCAACCGCAATCACTACATAACATACTTCGTCATCTGTCCCGACAGCATCCCCTTAGGACCTTCCTCATAAATTGTCGGGAACTCCTTGATGCGCAGCACAACCTGCTGCGCGACCATTATGATACCACCGGGCTGTCTCCTACAAGGTAACCTTCTGTCCGCATAATGCTGTGCTCGTCCAAAGAAGCAAGCCCGATAATTTGACGAAAATGGGCAATGGAAAGCTTCGTGATTGTGAGTGGATCTTAACGTCGGCAGAGGCCGGCGATTGAGTTCAGGTGGTTGGGAGACTCACGAAATCTTAAGGCAATCAGAAAGTCGCTGAACCAAGGGTTGAATTCGATTTTACACATAGGGGTGTAAATACAGATCTCTACTACCTACAAAGTGTCTCACCTTTTATATACGGTTCGGGGGTCGCTCAAGCTCACAGTGATAGAGCGACTGTTAGCATCACTATGAGGGATCCTGATGAAGAAGTAAACGACGTTTTTGGAAAAGCCTCGGGTAGGGGTTAGGTTCATGTGGTAGCCAAAGTACAGCGCAGTCAGTTGTGTCGCTTCGTTCGTTCGGCTTGGCTACTGGCATACCAGGGTAAGTAATCACTCGAATTCTTTGCTGTAGTCCTTCTCAATCAGACATGCTTCTGGCTCCTTATTGAACTTCTCTTTGTTCCGTGCTCCCACCAACAGTCTCTCCTGTCAATGAAAACCACCACTCTGCGGCCCCAACCATCACTGCGGAAATGAGGCTCATTACTCGCTCTTCAACCCACGTACCCGACCTTGATGCATGTCGAAGTCGGATTCCAAGAATCTGAGACAGTGGACGTCATGAATGCTACCCCACTGAGGCATTGTTTTACAACCTAACGAAGATCCCAAACGTGCGGAAACGTACATGGGGGGTGAGGTTTCATGTGCGGGACGGATACTCTGAACTCCATATATTCGTGGAGAAACAGACACAATCAGACGTCGCTGGGGATGGTTTCCCCCGACCAATTTTGCTTTTTGGACCATTTGGGATAGGTTCGTGGGTTCGCGCCGGATTCTTGTGGCGCAAGTGCGACTAATCACGCTCCTCAAAGGCAAGACTGCCATCTATCTGATGTACTCTCTCGTGAATCCGCTCGAACAATGAAAGCCCACCGTGGTTTCCAAGTCGCGTTCGATGCGTTTGGCCTTTCTCGACTCTGGCATTTACGTGATTCCGGACGATTCCTTCCATCTTTGACTTAATCCCGAGGTCTCCGCAGCGGAAGGAAATGGTGAATCTTGGTATGTAGCATCGTCGCCCAATCCACAAGAGATGTATGAATGGGTAGAGGAGAATAATGTGAACAAGTTTTACATAAAAACATGGAGTTAGTAGAGTTGCCAGTTGCATAGATGATGGAGCAGAGGGTCGGAGACGACGTTTGGTGTATTGCATTTATAAAGTATGAAGGTTTGGCAAGGTATCTACTCAATCGTACGCAACAGGACCTAGATGACGACCTTGCCTGCATCTGGTAGAAATCAACCCGCTTCAAGATGCATGTGGTCATGTCATGAACCAATCGATCCCATGCATGCAGGTCTTTATCACAAGCACAAGCTCATGGAAAAGAAGGGAATTCCTCCAGACCCTCGGACATGTCTATATCTATATTGTCAACAATGCTAAAGATACTTTTCACATATGAGCACTCGAGGACGGCAGCAAGGAATTGCATTTGGAACACATCAACTGGAGGTATTCTCCGACCGGTTTCTGGCAACCTTGCCGGTATTGATTCATCATTTGCTTTTCGAAGAAATGAAGAATCATGCCATTACCGGTGTTGTTGTGCTTCAGTATAGAATCTCTGCATGGCACTCTGTCGAAGGTAAATTCATCAATGAGCTTTGGCAATGGAAGCTTGTCGTCCCACTGGGAAATCATAAACTATTTCAAAAAAAGTATGCATACCAAAGTGTCAGGGTATGTGGGCGCGAGCGCTAATGTTACTCTGATAACCTATGTAGTTAGTTATGATCAAGACAGGGGGGAGGGAACATCCCCAACTAGTGTCAGTTATATACATGAAGAGTGCGGTGGTTAGGTGACCAAACAATACACCGATAGAATCACACGATCATAGAATACTTATGCAATAATTGGCATGTACTGGCTCTAGAGGCTGGAAAAGGGATCAGAAAAAAAAATAAGAAATGCGTAGAAGGAGTGGATGAAAATGTAGGCTAATCTTTGATGTGAGATGCTCGCCAGGCAGTAGAATCGTGGATTTGGGCTGTGGCAATTCCCCGCTTCATTTCAAGATTCTTCGGAGAATCCCACATATGTAAGTACACGACTGCCATGCAACTGGAGGATTCATCCCATGAGCGAAGACGTGTTACAGTTAAGGCGTAACACCGATGGACCTTAAGATTGCCTTAGTCTTTGGCCTAGTCCAGATTGCGACCTCAATGTGTATATATAGACCATTGATCAGCGAAAGCTACCCTCAGCTGATCAACATAGCGCCCTTATTGATTTCAGCTTATAGCTTGCTCCTCGTGGTCTGACTCCTTGCTCCCGATCTTGTCTTGCCTTCGCATCTCCTGCGCCTTAGCCCCGTGAGGCCCGTAACAAGACGCAGATTAACACGTGCAACGAAGCGACCAGGTCAATGCGCCCGTAACACTCCACTTCGGACAATTCAACATATAGTTTGTATCAGAGCTAGGGATCGAATTATTCTTCAAGGCCAAACCCTCTGCGAATAGCATTTTCAGCGCGCTGATGCGCGCGCAAGAAAGTGGCCGTGCACGTGGAACATAAGTACTCCCGATTTCAGATGCATGGGCGCTATTCATTCGATTCCGACCAGGTCCGCTATTGTTTGAGGTCGGGGTTGGTCTTGATTACGACCTCTCGATTCCTGAAGCAACGCGTGGATGATCAGGCTCCCAGTCTCCATTGGAATAGAATGATCCCCCGATAGAGGCTGGAACGTGTTTACGTACTCTTCCTTTCAGTGATGGAGCGCGACTACTTACTGCTTCTTCGGGCGATGTCTCTCGTCATGCCTCCCTTTCATATCTGTGCGCCGGAATCAGCTGAGGAGCGCAATTCAGATATGGACGTACCATTGCATGCATGACCCCCTCGCTTATTGGTGTTCCATCTGTCCCTCATAGACAGCGCTATGTGTGAGGATTTAAATAGGTATGCGTTTTTCCCTGCTCACGTACCCCCAAAAGTCTCCGACCCGATTATCGTTAAGTGATCTCTCAATCAGTCGTCCCCCCCAGGATGGAACCACATTCCGATCGTTAGTGATGCCTTCTCGTTTGAAGTCGCATTGGTATTAAATAAGCCTAATCATGTTTTAAAGGTCAAAGTGCGACTTTGTCCCAAGAGAGTCTCGTAGCGTCGCAATCAAATTCTCCGGCTAACACACTTAGAGGAGCACGTCACCATTCAGCTGATACACGACATCAGAATTCCGCACCTAAGCGGCGTCCCCCTGCCCTTCCTGGGATATATGAACGGCCATCGCAGGAGGTGAGAGAAGTTGAAGAAGCTACAGCTAGGACCTCTTCTGAACATGGAGCTGGCTGTGAGTTGACTCTTGTTTTCGTTCATGTTCATTCGAATGATGCTGGCTTCATCAAGACAAAGATCACAGCCTTCAGCGAGAGGGTTCTGCTGCATTCAAGGTGTTCGTAAGGTAAGTATTATTCAATTGATGGTGATCATTATCGAATTGACGTACCGTTCATCAGGAAAATGAATACGCTTGACGCAAATCTACAATCATTCACAAATGCTGTTGGTCAACTCGGTTCGTCCGTCGCCATATCATCCTCGGCAGATGAACTACGCGATTGTCTCCAGAGGCTCCTTCAATCTTTTCGTTCTAACGCGGCTCATCTCTTCGAGGGCGGAGAGAAGGAACTGGCTAGTATACCAAAATTTAGGCGTTTCGCTTCTCGCTACTATACACGCACTATACGCTCCCCCTTGGTTCAGGCGGACTCTCCAGCTACGATCCCGGAGCAAATGGCTTCGTTGGCCCATAACCTAACTACATTTGTCCGATGTCTGGATCAAATCCCGGAGTTCACTGACCAAGCTGTCAATGCTTCCACGGCGCTTTTTCACGATGACCTGATGTACTGGAGCTCATGTTTGAAGGACCATCGGGCAGGCGGTAGGTTGGGTTTGATGTCCGTTCCCAGCGATTCACTCAACAACATTGAATAGACCAGTTTAAACGATCATATATAAGGCAATATCTCAATGATCTCGCTACCGAGATAGGCGAGCACTGCGAAAGCATGTCGCATTCCCTCCAGGTATTCGTTGACATTGGTGAAGTGGTCCACTTTCGAGAACAAGAATTTAACTGATGTGTAACAAACCGTTTTCAGGGATACCCACTATAAAATTCAGTCAAACACAAACAACTAAAACCCTTCAAAATCTTTCCACTGTGGCGGCCCTGTTCGCTGCGGTTGATGCTACAGCAATTCAGTTCTCGTATCAGAGCTTCGGCACCAAGGCGCAAAATGCTGTGAATTTGTTATGGATTATGTCTCTGGTCTTCTCTCTAGCTAGTGCCATCAATAGCCAGCTGGCATATCACTGGCAGTAAGTGATTACTAGCTTGTTTGAGTGCAGCCTCGGTGAATGGATGGATGATTTAGCTCCGCAATTTACCGGTCCCCGCATGCATGTCTACCAATGTTGATCTCCGTATGGATCGTGCATTCGCCTCTCATGTTCCTCGTTGCTTCTGTTCTTGCTTTCTCCGCTGGATTGGTCTGTTTCACATTCTCGAATTTCCACCATTACCCAGTGATTCCCATCGTCATCACAGTTTGCACGTCTATCTCCTCGTTTGCCCTTCTTTCAGTTGGCTTGTGGTTCTTTGGAGAGCGGTGTACATTTAAACGAACTAACGGGAAAAAGGTAAGGCTAAATATTGTGGGCGGATCGCAGGACTCTAATCCCCTTCCGCAGTGGCTCATTCAGGTAGTGCCGGCCGCAGTGGAAAACGTCAAGGGTTACTCTGGGTATCGAGCAGCTACCACATATTTCCGAAACTTGGGTGTACTATTGCGGCCCACCCTTGACTGTGCCAAGCGGCAGATCTCACGAGTTACTCAATCCATGGGCGTTCCCAGACCGGAAACTGTAATTTCTAGCTTGAGTGCTAGAAGCGCAAGCCGCGGTGTGAGGGAAACTGAAGGCAGCCTGCCTTTGCATTCTAACGAGGTTGTCACTTCCTCGTCGAATGGAGACCCTCACACTCCACCGTCGCCTGATGACCCCCCCTCTCTTGGGGGAACCAGCCCTCACCAGCCAAGCCCACTAAGATCAGGCATGGAGAAGATCGCTGCAACGGCATTCGATTTCACGCATCGCTTGGTGTCCATAGGAGATGCATCCAGGTCTGGTTCATTGGGGACATCAGTAGGGTCCCCTCCTGGTTCACCGTCTCCGGCAGGCCAATTTGTTATAGGCCAGATCCCACATGCAACTACAGAAGCACACTCCGCTAACGTGCCAAGGGGTGATTCCGCCCAACTGATGGCCATCACATCATCTCTCAAAGGGATGTCCGTCACCCAGATAGCACGAGAACATACGTGATTCATAAGAGATTTAAGATTTAGCCCCAAGGGGGACTATCGTGAGTCATGGAGGCCTAGTTCTGCCATGAATTCAACAAGAGTGATTTTTACGTAGTTGCGACATGTGCATGGGGAGATCCCATTATTATTTGGAAGGTTGACCACAAGTTATCCGTCCATCGCAAAATCCCGCATTTCAGCGATATGGTTAGCCAAGTAACGTGGTCCCCTGACGGCAAATATCTTCTTTTATTTTCTCAAGACGGTGTCGAAGTCAGGATGGCGGATGTAAGTGATCAGCAAGCCTGCATAACTTTTACCAACTGTGTGCTATATCCCAGGGTGAGGGCTGGCGAGAGGTCACTACTTGCAAGGAACTGGGAGATTACCGGGCAGTCTGCTGGTTGCCAACATCCTGTGCGTTCATTTTAGCAAATCGGACAAGTTGGCGTACAATTGTTAAGTGAAGGTCTTAAATTCGATTGTTACTGCGATTGACATTGCTTATAGCATGTTCACGACTGCGGTTGTCAGCACAGTCCGCAGTCCGAATGGAGCCTTGATCCTCTGCTTCTACATGACATGGCGGTCACTTCTGATGGGCAAAGGCGAGTAGCGCATTCTACCTCCTGACGCTCCCGAATTACCATCGTCCTCCAGGCTTCTAGCGGTTGCGTCAGTGACTCAATCGCCGGACGGATTAAAACCATCAAACCCTGGGCATTTAGAAAAGCGAATTCTTGGTACGTTAGCGCTGATCATTCCCATCACACTCAAGTAACAATGTTTCTCTCAGTGCATAATCTAGAAACAGGGGATGCAGAAGTGTGAGCGTGAGATAAGTTCGGCGGTGAGAAATTCTCAAGCAAATTCTTGCAGACAAATACCCGTTCTTCATGACGCCCGTTACATCACGTTGTCGAGCGAGGGCTCGCTCGTGTTAGTCAGCTACGAGGACAAGGTGCGATGTGCTTGACGGGTTGTTCTTAACATATCGTTGTTCAAATGTGTATCCGAGCACAGGCATCACCACAGCTTTTCCGGCTGAAGATTACCGAACATCAAACGAGACTCGATCTATTGCATACCTACAGCTTGCCGACTGCGAGCTCGCTTCATTCAGTGAGATTTGTTCGTTCAGGCGAATTCTGTCATTTCAATTATCCCGGGCTGGGGGACATGATCGTGTTATGCGCTGATAAAGGTGCTTACTCTCGAAAACTTTGAACGATCGAATGCTAACATTTATGGGATAGGTGGCCTGCTTTACTTCTGGGACCGCAAATCCGCTACCCTGCTGCACTCCATTAAGATTCATGATCCAGGAGCGGCTCGGACGAAGATAGCTTGGAGTCACGTTAACACGGACAGACTTATGTTTGCTACTGGTGGCCATGGAGGTACTTTGACGGTTTGGACAGCTGAATTTCGGGCCAACGAAGCGTCTGGGGGGGCCAAAACTGCGTAAGCTTGGGAGGAAGAGCGGTCGCGAATACTTATGGTGGTGCTTGATACCCGAATGTTCTCCCAATACCCAGGCTGAATTTTCAATATGGAGGCTCGAGGCCTTTGGTCCTTCATGACGTTGCTGTCATGGCAGATGAACAGAGACAGAGGCGGATTTCGATTCACGACATATGTAGAAGGGTGCTCAATCTAAAAAATGAATGGACAACTGTATTGATTACGTAGCAACCTCACTCTTGATTGTTGGCTTCAAGAAGGCTGCCCATGTCTAGGATGCTCACGCTCAAATTGCGTCAATGTGCACTTTTTGCGCATGCTTTCAATCAATGTGAGCGCTGTGCTTTAAGTAGTAGAGGTTGGGATCCTGCCTAAGTATGTACGCGCTCGCTGGACAGAATCGCTGATGCGCGCGCAATCATGCCCACGCTACTCACGATGCAGCCAGCTTGTATATTCGGCTTCCCAATTTTGATGGATTAGATTTGGTGCAGGCTGGTGGTCTCCTGTATTAGATTGTTGGAGCTGATTGTGACCTCTCGATTCCTGAAGCAGCTCCGTATGGAGTTTCCACCTGTAGCGGAGCTGGCCGAATTTATTCGTCTACTTATTCATGGAATATATAAGGAGATAATTCACGGACTCTGGTATTTCAAATGACGCAATTTCGGAATGTATCATTAGCTAGCTTCTGAACGACTGCTTTACAGTCGGCACTCTATATGTAAACAAATTCTCCGTGATCGCAAGCAAGTAGAACTCGGTACGGATGTATTCGAAGACCGGGGGGTCCCGCTTCAGATCTCTCCGCGTGGCTGTCTTGGTGTGGCCGACGTATATCTCCTTCTCCTTGACTTCCTCGCGGGCTTTGTGGGGCCGGTTACTTCTGACTTAAAAGGAAAAGGACCCATGTCTTCCATGCACTTGTACATTGCTGAGGATGTTCGTTAACCTGATTATATAAGGTAACGACTTTTTGGTCTAAATCAATCCGCAGATTCACGTACCCATTAGAAAGTTATCTATGGCATCTTGCGACAGGCCTCCTATGCTGAGCCAATGACAAACTTCCCATTCCTGCCTACTCAAAAAGGGCGCGTGCGGCTGCCCTTCATCTGCATCTTTGGCCAGCTTGTCTGGCATCTCGACCTCATCTGGGAAGGTTTTTCCAGGGTCTATGCCCATGATTAAATTAGTACGGGGTTTCTCGCTGAGGGCAACCCAACATCTGTTGCGTCGGCTCCGAGTCCAGGGGGTCAGACTCATCCATTTCACCAAAGTGAGTTTGCTCAATGTCTTATCTGCCCTGCCGTTGCTACCGTCAGACCGAGGGTGGTGAGTTCTTGACCATGCTGAGCCTCAGGCTGTCGAGTGGCACGCTGTATTTTTTTGCTGACAGGAACCGCTCCGACGCAAGTGATTTGCCAGTCCACCACCCCTGCGTTTACACTTTTTAAAGCACCGCAGATAATCCTTTTGAACAAGCACAGAGATTGAAGACATTGCGTTGACAGCCGAGATTTGTACTGAATTGCAATATAAAATTTGGAGAATCAAATTTAGTCCAGCCTCGCGCGCTCCTCACCCAAAGGAAAGGACTGCAAGAACCTGCCGTGCGGCCTCCACAAGTCAGAGGTATGTCGGAGCAGCAGCACCGCCGTCAATGCCTGGGGGGCTCGACAGAGTTTATGAAATTGGCACTACGAATGAATCTCTGCCTTCTGGTTCTGCCCGGTATCTCGAATACCAAATGAACTATGTGAGAACAATATGTTGCATGCTCTCAAAGGCAGGGCTCCAGTCTCTATGACTTCGCAGCAATATGTAGAGCTACTCTACGATGCCAGGCCTCGATCAATTATATACGCTTTACGGCGGTGTCTGGAAAAGGGCGCTTGCTTCTTCCCCCGCTTCCTCTGACAGCGTGGTTTTTCAAAGTACTTACTCTATGTTGTCGAAGCCGAATAACTTCAATAAGAATTATATAGTCTTGGTTCGTGGCTAAACACGTGTCTGTCCAGATGACACAGGAACTCAGCATGCTTTCCCAAGATAGGCGAATGGCTACAAAAGCAATGACTCGCTTTGCAGTTACCTTCACAACCCCTCAATTTGCTTGCGATGTCGACTTCACAAACCAACATGGACGCAAGCATTGACCGTGAGTCCAAAGCCGTGAAGCCAGGAAATGCGTTGGCTGATCATCGCGCTGCGTTCATGCAGAAACGAGCGATACCATCGTTCACACTGGTCCTGTGTCTCCTACATCCCCTTCTGAACATCGGCTCAGGCCTGGTGTTTCGACTACTGCCCGCATTTCGACACCAACAAGAAACTCTCACTCTCAACCTACCACACCTAGGCGGCGCCCCAATCCCATTGTAGTCATGCACAAAAGGCAATTGAGTCTGCAACTTGAAGAAGGGATTGAAGAGTCCCCGGAAGTTCGTCAGGAAGACCTTGATGAGCAAGGCGCAGGATGTAGGCTCAAATCTCCAATGGCCAAAATTCCGTTCTCATATGGTGTTTCGATTATTAGACAATGACGAATGGATGAGAAAGGAGGGACTGGCGGTATTGGAAACTCTGGAATTGTAAGCGTGTTCGAGAATCGTGATTCTGACAAGTCCTCACTCCCGGGGTTCCATAGAAGAATGACGAAACTGGATAAAAAACTTCAAAACTTCACCAACGCCCTCGGTGCGATCGGTTCTTCAGCCGCGCTCCAACTAGCAGCGGACGATTTTCGTGACCTACTAACTCATTTGTCGCGCCTCTTTCGGAAGAATGCCTATAAGTTATTTGGGGATATCGATCAGGATCAAGCTCACGCTGCAGAGGATAGACGATCTCGGGCGTATGGACGAGGACAACGCCGGTTCAGTGTGTTGTCCGATGATCAGGAAACAGCTCACGCCCAGTTGGGTTTATTAGCAGACAATTTAGACATATTTCTCTCGTGCTTGAACGAGATTCCCAAGTTCACCGACCAAGCTGTCAACACTTCCGTCAAGCTCTTCCAAAGAGATTTGAGGTATTGGGGATCTTGCCTCAAAGTATATGAAAGTTAGCTGTCATCATGAGGCGTTCTATCCGACCACTCACTTTCTTGCTTCTCACAGAGCAGTACCACGCTCCGTTTGTTCGATTATACCTTAACGATATCTCAGCAGAAATTGGGGAGCATTTGGACAGCGTCTCGGCGGCCATTACCGTTTTCATCGAGTTCGGTAAGTCCCCTGACCCAGCTGCAACGATGCAACTCAATGGGCTGAGCAGGTATCCCGACTATCAAATTTACCCAGCATCACACAACTGCAGCCCTTCATAATTTGTCCACGGTCGCCACCTTGTTTTCGAGTGTGACTGCTACAACAATTCAGTTTAGCTAGTACTGATACCTGGTTACTTTTCTGGGAAATCACTCGTCTTATGCCGCTTCTTCTCTAGTCAGAATTTTCAGACAAGGACTCAGGAAGCGGTCAACTTGTTATGGATTATCTCACTCGTATTTTCCCTCGCGAGTGCGATGAATAGCCAGCTTGCTTATCATTGGCGGTGAGCAAATTGCTGTTTGAAGTACTCTGGGGGCTGGTTCATCGGTTACACTCTTCATCCTGCTGAAATAGCTCTGCCGTCTATCGCTCGCCTCGTGCACGCCTCCCTTGGTGGGTCTCCATCTGGATAACCCATACGCCTCTGAGCTTCCTCATTGCGTCCGTCATTGCGTTCTCGGCTGGGCTCATATGTTTTACCTTCTCCAACTTCCACATATCTCCGTTTATCCCCGTCGTAATCACTATTTGCACATCAGTCTCGTCTTTTGCTCTTCTCACGGTCGGCTTCTGGTTTTTGGGGGAGCGCTATGCATATGGTAAGACTAACGGCAGAAAGGTTCGATCCCCATTTTTTAACGGTTGAGTAATGTGGTGATGTGTCGTTTTCTTCAGTGGCTCGACGATTTAATGAAGGATACTTTTACAAAAGGCAATCTGGCAGCTATGTGCCAACCATTCTTAGGCTTCCTTCTCTCGAGCATGCATCACTGTCTACAACCATTCCGGAAGGCGCTTGTTTTCTTATGGGGACTTTTGATCACCCTGTTCCGACGCCATAATTTGCCAAGAGACAGCCGACAGAACGAGATCATTATAACAGAGGTGCACTCTCCGATAGCTGATGCCCACCAACGGGATGTCGAGAAAGATGCCGTTGAGAGGACTCCCAGTCGTGCATCATCGAGCTTGAGAGCTCATCGATCCGATGACAAGACAGAACGTCATTCCCTGCCTACGACATCGCTTCAATATGAACGATCTTCTGATGAACCTGGTTTGTTCCCTCTCCTCAAACCGGTATTCGAAAAGTTCCATGACACACTACGTGGATTTGGGATTCACCCCAGGACGTCTGAGGAAGGGGGTCCTGTCTCCTCGCCACGCACCCCATTGCCCGTCTCGCCAGCACCAAGGCAGGACCCCTTTCGTGGCAGAGGCTCTCTCTCTGATTCGAGTGACCACTCGGTGGATGTTATAAATCTTCCCCCCGCAGAAACTAGTCCATCCAACTTGGGAGCTGTAATTCCTGCTTTGAAATCTCTGCGAGTCACGGGGAACCTGAGGATGCACACTGCCCTGGTCCGAGACATCCAGTTCAGCCCTAATGGCGAATACCGTATGTGAATCTCTGGCTCTTCCTCGTTCTGGCTCAGTTTCGATTGTTACTAGTGGCTACTTGCGCATGGGACCAAACCGCTATCATCTGGAGAGTTGACTCCATTTTCACCGTCCACCAGAAGTTGGAATATGCGGGAGGGTCCCCTGGACAAGTCTTATGGTCTCCAGATGGCCAGTATCTCATTGTGAAGTCACCGTTTGGGGTGAAAGCCTGGTTACGCGAGGTCCGTATCTATCCATACATTGCGAATGTACTAGTGAATGACGCGAGCAGACTGGTGTTTGGCAGCGGACCATCCACTGGCCTCGGTTTATACATTCTGTGGCT